CCTGGAGGTCTGAAGGCCTGGGGTCTGCGGCCCAGCCCCGACCACTGACGCACACTCCCTCCCCGCAGCTGGTGGAGCCGCTGACTCCTAGTGGAGCAATGCCTAACCAGGCTCAGATGCGGATCCTGAAAGAGACAGAGCTGAGGAAAGTGAAGGTGCTTGGATCCGGAGCTTTTGGCACAGTCTACAAGGTCAGGGGCGGGGCCAAAGTGCGGGGTGGATGGACTCAGGCTGCGTAGGGGTGTGCCCAAGAGTTCTATTGGGGGAGACAACCAGGAGGTGGGGGCGGTGCTGTTTGGTAGGGCGGTTACAGAGGCTGGAAGGAAGGGAAAGGGAGTGGGGAGTAGGGCTAAATGGTAACCTTGGGCTCAATAGCAGGCTTGGCTTAAGGCTGGGGAAGGGTACCAGGGGCACGAGTAATGACTTTCTAGATGACTGCAGGTTAGATTTGGCCGGCCCACTTGTGCTCACACCGTCCTCTTTACACCCAGGGCATCTGGATCCCTGATGGGGAAAATGTGAAAATCCCAGTGGCCATCAAAGTGTTGAGGGAAAACACATCCCCCAAAGCCAACAAAGAAATCTTGGATGTAAGTCCTTCCACCCTCTCCGTCTGGGAGTACAGGAGGGTCCCCCCCTGGCGGCAGCTGTTGGCTGTGGTCTCTTTCTCTCTTCGCTGGAGCTTGGGAAGACACTTTGTGATTCCCAAATCCAAACTCAACCTCTCCGGTCTGTGAGCCATGTTTCTGGTCAGTGCTGGATGGGGCCAGGCTGGGTGAGGGTTCCTAGTCACACCTCAGTGCTCAGGAGGGGTGTGTGGTGGTTGGGGGTTTGTGGTTTCCCCTACCCTCTCAGTGTTTACCCTTGCCCCCAGGAAGCATATGTGATGGCTGGCGTGGGCTCCCCATATGTGTCCCGCCTCCTGGGCATCTGCCTGACATCCACGGTGCAGCTGGTGACACAGCTTATGCCCTATGGCTGCCTCTTAGACCACGTCCGAGAACACCGCGGGCGCCTGGGCTCCCAGGACCTGCTGAACTGGTGTGTGCAGATTGCCAAGGTATGCAGTTAGGGGCCTGGGCTCTGCAGGTGCTTTGGGAGCAAGTCTGTGACTCCACACAGGGCTGGGGTGGGGGTGGGGTTCCTGGGAGAGAGTGGTCAGAGTGTGGTCTACGTGGTGACTCTGGTCCTAGGGGATGAGCTACTTGGAGGAAGTGCGGCTTGTGCACAGGGACCTGGCTGCCCGGAACGTGCTGGTTAAGAGTCCCAACCATGTCAAGATTACAGACTTTGGGCTAGCACGGCTGCTGGATATTGATGAGACGGAGTACCACGCAGATGGGGGCAAGGTTAGAGGGCACAGAGTGAGGCAAGGTGGAATGGGGTTTGGCCACAACTCAGAATGGCCATCTTCGTAGCACACCTAGTTTGAGGACTTCCTCCTCTGCTGTCCCAGGTGCCCATCAAGTGGATGGCATTGGAGTCCATTCTCCGCCGGCGGTTCACCCACCAGAGTGATGTGTGGAGTTATGGTATGTGGTGGGGAGGGTTGGGGGTAGTGGACAAGGAGCCTTGGACCTTGGGGGGTTGTTGATGGAAGGGATGGAAGAATTAATGGAGACACCTTGGCATGAATGTGAGAAGGAAGGAAGGGCTGCTGGCGCCTCAGTCTGCCCAAAGTGCTATTGCACTTCCCAGGGATTGGGAAAAGACAGGTAACTCCTGCCCTGTGGCATCGCATCCCTCCCCTCCTTCTCTCATGGTGCCAGGCTCTTGGGCACAGCCTCTGGGGCTCAGCACACTAAAGCTCCCTGTGGTCTCCCTACCTTTTAACCTCATCTCTGCTCCAGGTGTGACTGTGTGGGAGCTGATGACTTTTGGGGCCAAACCTTATGATGGGATCCCAGCCCGAGAGATCCCTGACCTGCTGGAGAAGGGGGAACGGCTGCCCCAGCCCCCCATCTGCACCATTGATGTCTACATGATCATGGTCAAATGTACGTGCTGAGCTGTGCCGGCTGCTTGGAGGAGGGGTGGGAGGTCCTGGATAGAAGGGCCTGTAATGGGCACGGGAGGGGGCCGAGAGCAGGATGTATGTGGCCTCTGGTATGGTTAAAGGAGCCTCAAAGGGTCTTGCTTCCCTTTCATAGTACCAGTCCTGAGGGGCTCTAGAGAACTGACCGGTCTTGAGACTCATGCAAACTAAAAAGGGGAAACTAGTAGAGATTCTTGAAAGTTCTGGCTCAAGACCAGAGTCTGGTATCTTTTCTCAACCGACTGAGGGCTATAGACACTAGTAGCGGATGTCTAAAGCAGACTGGAGAGTGGGGCCGGGGCTGCCCAAAGGCTGCAGCCAGAACTGGGATGCTGAGTTTCCTTGTGCCCCCAGGTTGGATGATCGACTCCGAATGTCGGCCAAGGTTCCGGGAGCTGGTGGCCGAGTTCTCGCGCATGGCCAGGGACCCCCAGCGTTTTGTTGTCATCCAGGTACTGGGCCTTTCCCCCGCACCCCACCTGTGACTAGAGCATCTCCCACAAAGGGTGGGGAGATGACTGCAAGCCCAGCCCTTGCCTGGCCGGTCATAGCTCTTGTCCCCCCCAAGCTTTCCTCGGGGGGCTGCATGTTGGGCTGCACAGAGGCTGCGCTGCCGCTTCTCTTCTCCCCAGAATGAGGACTTGGGCCCTTCCAGCCCCTTGGACAGCACCTTCTACCGCTCGCTGCTGGAGGATGATGACATGGGGGACCTGGTAGATGCTGAGGAGTACCTAGTTCCCCAGCAGGGCTTCTTCTGCCCAGACCCTGCGGCCGGCGCTGGGGGCACGGCCCACCGCAGGCACCGTAGCTCATCCACCAGGGTCAGTGCTCTCAGTCACACTGCGGTGGGGTTACCTCCCTGCCCCTAGTGAACTGGGGTCCCTTTCTCTGATGTCCTCCTCAACCGTCACCTCTCATGGACACCCTTTATCCTTAAGGAAGATGCCTACTGCCTTCTAACCCATGATCCATTGTCTCCACGGTGACTGTGTCAAAGCCCACAAATGACCTCTGTTTTATCTCCTGTCACCTCCCATGGAGTCTCCATCCCAGATCCATGAATGACCCCCATCATGACTTCTCTTGTCTCCAGAGTGGTGGTGGTGAGCTAACGCTGGGGCTGGAGCACTCCGAGGAGGAGGAGCCCCCCAAGTCCCCACTGACACCCTCAGAAGGGGCTGGCTCTGATGTGTTTGATGGCGAGTTGGGAATGGGGACAGCCAAGGGGCTGCAGAGCCTCCCCCAACATGACCCCAGCTCTCTACAGCGTTACAGCGAGGACCCCACAGTACTCCTGCTCCCTGAGACTGATGGCTACGTTGCCCCCCTCACCTGCAGCCCCCAGCCTGGTATGGAATCCATGCCCAAGCTGAGCGAATGGGAAGTGGGGTACCCAAAGGGGGTGCTCAGCCAGGGACCACTGTGGGGACAGTGGTGGTAGTTGGGACACATAACTTCCCTCCTCTAACAAGCCCCCTCCTCGCCCTTTCAGAATATGTGAACCAGCCAGAAGTTCGGCCACAACCCCCCTCACCCCTAGAGGGCCCTCTGTCTCCTTGTCGACCTGCTGGTGCCACTCTGGAAAGGCCCAAGACTCTTTCCCCAAAAACCCTCTCCCATGGAAAGAATGGGGTTGTCAAAGACATTTTTGCCTTTGGGAGTGCCGTGGAGAACCCTGAGTACTTGGCACCCCGGGGCAGGGCTGCCCCTCAGCCCCACACTCTACCAGCCTTCAGCCCAGCCTTTGACAACCTCTATTACTGGGACCAGGACCCATCAGATCGGGGCTCTCCACCCAGCACCTTTGAAGGGACCCCTACGGTGGAGAATCCTGAGTACCTGGGCCTGGATGCGCCAGTGTGAGCCGACAAGCCAAGTCACTGAGGCCCTGCTGAGCCCTCAGGGAGTGGGGAAGGCCTGACTTCTGGCCTGCGTTGGGACAAGATGGGGAGAGGGCCCTTGGACCACATCCAGGAGAGCCTGCTGTGCCAGGAACCTTCCTTCCTACTCCAATTTCCAGGGTGCTGAGAGGGCCCCAGGCTGGAGGAAGAGGGGGCAGCCCTGGGAAGTCTTGATTAACTTTGGAGCCCTGCCCCAGCAGCCTCGAGGGTCCAGTGGATGCCATGCCTTGCTCTCCTTCCAGATGCTTGGCACTGAAGGACTTAGGGAAACTGGGCCTAGAAGGGGACGAGACCTCAAGGGAGTGTCTGGGATCAAGAGCAACCCATTCAGAGACTGCCCTGAGACCTGGCTTCGGCCCCAGGAAGAAGTGAAGGGGCAGAAGCACCCACACACAGTTCTTGTACAGAGTGTGGCTTCTTGTTTCTACTTAGATTGTTTTGTTTTGTTTTGTTTTGTTTTTTAAGATGAAATAGGACTTGGGAGACTAGATATTATGGAAAGGAGGGTCTCTGGAGTTGGGGGAGGGATATCCCATCTTCACACCCACTTTCTCCATTTGAAAATATATTTTGGAAAACGGCTGGGCACCAGCCTGTGTCTGGGGGTAGCTCTGTGTCCTTTATTGTTCACCTCCTGACTTATACTCAGTTCATCTTTTCCTGGAGGGAGTGGTTAAGAATCTTCAGAAAGCTCAAATGAGGAGCCTGTCTTCCAGTTTCCCGGCTTTGGGTTGGGAAGGATCTGGGAATTGGGGTTCTGATCTGTGAGCCCTTTGATAACCAGAGCATTCTTGCTTAGAAAAAAAAAAAGAACTAAGGCCACTCACCAGAATGGGGTAATTTCCATTTTTGGGTAGGGGGAGTTGGGGGAGGGGTGGAGGGAAGAAGAGGCAGTGTCTACTCTGTGACCCATTTCCCTGGCCTTGGCTATGAGATCATTGAACTTGAAGTAGGTATGCAGAAAAAGCCACTGTGGCGGTATAGAGGCTGGGTTGGCCTCTTGGCCCCCAACCTCCCCCATACACACTCCCAAACTGGACATAAAACACACTAGTTTGCACAGGTGTTTGTAGTGCCACTTTATTGTTAATAGTTAACATTGCCTAGGACTAGTGGAAAGTAACTTAGAACAGTGGTTGTGTCTGAGAGTTATGAGTAAGCTGGAGAAGGGAGTGGGCTTTAGTGGACCTGGATCCTAGGAAGGTATCTAAGGTGGCTGTGCAAATGTGCATGCCGAGAGAATCTCTCTCCCACCACTAAGACTACAGAAGTTTGTGTTTCCCTCCTGGTACCCAAAGGGGCAAAGTGGAGGCTTGGGTCTCTAAGCTCCCAGGAGCCAAGTGAAAGGAAAGAGGCAATAGGGAGTCCTCAGCAGGACCAAAGGGAAGACCAAGGCTGGATTCCAAACAATAGAAACCCAGAATCGTGTAGTCACAGGATGACACAGGGAGGCCGGCTGTTGGTGATCTTTTCTAGGGGTTCTCCGTTACTGGCTCTTCGGATGGCCTCAATGAGCTAGAGGGCAGAGATGTGGAATGGGATGATGCACTGTAGGGGTAGGGTGAACTAGGGGTCCTCCCAACATTGCAAATACTCACATCTTTCTCATAAGGAAAGCCCCCATTCTCCAGCTTGGAGAACACCAGCTGTCCATTGATCTCAATCTCAAAAGCCCCTGTTATTAAAAAAAAAAAAAAAAGGTCTGCTGAGAACAAAAGTCAGAGGAGGGCTCCATACTCCTTAGACTTCACACAGGCTGTTTCGTGTCTCCCACTTTACCCATTAGAGACTTGTAGTTCTTTAAGCCATTTCCCAGTCGTGGGTCAAGCCAGTGGAATCTGAGTGAGGGGTCACCTGTGTATCCTTCATCGAACTTGGCTTCGTAACTCAATGAAGGGCTCTCTCCCCTCCAACCCTGCACTCCTGCAGTCTCAGTGTTTGTTCCCTACAGTTTTCATCTGTGATCTACTCATGTATAGAAGGGGACTCGAGTTGGCTGGATATTTTACTATGTGCCAGACACTGCTGGACACTATATAAAACAGTGCCGGAGCTAGAAAGTGGTATAGCTGGGATTTAGAACCCTGACTCAGCAGGTGTTCTGTGGGCCTCACCTGTGCCCCCGAGACGTGACTCGATCTCAATGCCAGGATACTGCTCCTTCACGGCACTCGCCAGCTCCAGGTAGGTCGCCTCGAAGCCGCAAGGTTCACTAGCGAGAAGACACCCGGAGCCCGTTTGGGTTTTGGGGGGAGGGGCCTGCCGTGGACCCACCCCCTGTCCGGCCCGAACCCCTTCCCAGCCGGAGCAGCTCACCAGTACTCCACCACAATGCGGACCCCACGGCCCAGTTCGATCTCCCCGGGAGGGGGCGCTACAGACGCCGGCCCCTGCTCCCCGCTCATTGCTGTCGGCTCCGATCTGGCCGCGGCTTCCGGGTGTGGCGTGACGCCGCGGGCACATGACGGGGCGGGGCCGTGCGTACGTCCAGGCGTCCCCTGCAGGCCGCGGCTGCTGTTATCCCCACCTTGAGGGCTCCGGGTTCTGCGGACCGTTCAAGATCACCTCTGGCCCTGTTTTTCAGAACGCCGATCTTGTCCCTCACCTGGTGTCCTTATTTAATCTAATGAAATATCTTAGATTGCAAAATGCTTTCCAGTTTACAAAAGGAAGAGAGTTGTGAAGCAGGCGGTCTAAGGTCCTGGGGTTGGAGGACGGTATGGAATAATTGCCATTTCTGGCTAACATTAATGGCATTTAAAACCACTTCATACATAGTTACACACTCAAGTGCTTCTGACTCTTAAACTAAACTGTAGTCAAAGTCTGGGGCAGTGTCACCTCTCCCCTCTACTCTGGAGCCTTAGGCTTTGGGGCTCGCACTCCTCAGGCTCTATGCCCCAATCATGTGCACCCAGTTTCTGCGCCTCCCCACCTCCCCACAGGGTTGGCATCATTTTGCAACTCTAGAAATAAATGCCTTCCTTACTGCCTCTTGCCTCCCTGGATTCCCACCAAAGTATCCTAACAGGTCATCCACTCTAGCGTCCCTTTAAGCTGTCATTTTTAAACAATACAATGATTTACAGAATTGTGAAACCATCGCTACAATCCAGCTACAGAAAATTTCAATAAACCTAAAATAAGTCTCTCCTGCCTGTTTGGAGTCAATCCAGCTCCCAGCAGCTCTAGGCAACCCCTGATCTACTTTCTGTCTATAAACTTGACTTTTCTGTACATTTCATAAATAGAATGATACAATATCATCTTTTGTTTCAGTATAAAGTTTCCTTCAGTATAAAGTTTTTTAGATTCATCCTTGCTATAGCATATACCAGTTTGTACATGTAAAAGTAGTTTTTAACTTTTTATTGCTAAGTAGTATCCCATTATATAGATATACCACCTTTTGTTTATCTGTTCAGTGCTAGTTGATGGACATTCAGTTTCCAGTTTTTGCCTGTTCTGAATAATGCTGCAATGGATGTTCATGTAAGTGTCTTTGTATGTGTGGTTTCATTTCTCTTGCATAGATTCCTAGGATTGCTGGATTGTGTAGTAAGTTTATAGTTAACTTTTCAAGAAACTGTCAAACTTTTAAAAAGTGGCTGTACCATTTTCCATTCCCACCAGCAATACATGAGGATTTGTTTCCCCATATCCTTCTCAACACTTGTCTCTCTTTAACTATAGCCATCCTGTGAGTGTGAGGTGGTATATCATTCTGGTTTTAATTTCATTTTTCTAATGACTAATGATGTTGAGCACCTTTTCATGTGCTTATTAGCCATTCATGTATCTTATTTGGAAAACATATATTCAAATTTTCTGCCCATTTTTAATTGGGTTGTTTGTTGCAACCGAATTGATTCACAAGACTCCTATATATTCTGGATACAAAGTCCATAATCAGGTATATGATCCCAGTTTGACAACTTTTTTTTCAGTTTTTTAAATTATATTTTGGCAAGAGCAAAAATTTTGATCTTAGTTAAGTCTAATTTACCGATTTTTTTCTTTTGTAGTTTGTGCTTTTGCTGTTATATCTGAGATCTTTGCCTAACCCAAGGTCACAAAGATTTTCTCCTATGGTTTCTTCTAGAAGTCTTATAATTTAGCTATTACATTTAGGTCTGTGATCTTTTTTGAGTTAATTTTTGTACATGTGTCAACAAGGATCAAAATTCATCTTTGGCATGTAGATATTCAATCATCCCAGAACTGTTTATTGAAAAGACTATCCATTTGTTCATTGAATTGTCTTGGCAACTTTGTTAAAAATCAATTGACCAGAACTGTAAGGATTTATATTTGGACTCTTGAATCTGTTCCATTGATCTATACATCTATTCTGTTGTTTTATTTTAAAAATTCAGGTACGATTTATACACAGTAAAATTCACCTTCTTCAGTGTAGCTTTTCTGTGAGTCCTGACACACACAGTTGTACATCCATCACCATGACAAAGATACACAGCAACTCCATTACCTCCTCACAAGTCCCCGTGTCCCCCACTGTCAACCCCTTTCCCACCTCCTTAACCCCAGATTTGCTTTCTGTCCTATGCTTCTGTTCCCTTCAGAAATCCATTTAAATGGAATCCTATAGCACTCAGCTATCTGAGTCTGGCTTCCCTCTCTCAAACCCACCCTTCAACATCCAGACTGATCTCTCCAAAATATAAATTGTCTGTTCCTCTGTGCCTCAACTTAAATCTAGAGAGACCCTGCTGGGTCTGGCCTTTGCTCATAGTTCCTGCTAGTCTGGACAGACAGGATAGATGGCTTTTAAATCTACTTTGCCAAACAACTACCTGAGGGCTTGTCAATACCACACATTCCTGGGTCTTGGCTCCAGAGACTGAGATGCAGTAAGAGGGGAGGAGCCCATGGATCTGTTCTTAAACAAGCCTAGGGAGATTTGGAGGCAGTCACAGGCCACACTTTGAGAAAAACAGGTGAGTCCAAAGCACTTCCCTTTCCCCACATCTTCCACACCTGCTCAGGCTTACCTGTGTGGCTTCCTCTCCTTCCTTCCCCACCTCTGCTCTGCCTCTGCAGGCTGCACCTCCTCTGCTCAAGGGCTTTGGCACTTGCTCCCTCATCATGAGAAGTGCCTCTCATTCCATCCACCAATCCCAACATCCTCCCTGCCCCAGACAACTTCCCTTCTGCTCAATTGTCATTTCCATGGAGAAGTCTTCCCTAACTCCCTGGATGAGTCATTCTCCCAACATTGTCACCTGCCATTTCTTATTTGTATGATTCTTTAAAGTCAGTCTCCCTGATGGGGTTGCTTGAGGATAAGGGCGGGTCCGTTTTTGTTGCTCATCACTGTATCCCTAGTACCAAGCACAGGGTTGGCATATAGTAGGTACTTAGCAAATTAGTTGACAACATGAAGGAACGATTGAGTGAATTGTGTACTGTGCTTTGCACAAGCTGCTCCTTGGCCCAGGTGACCTTGCCCCTCCCCCCATTTCTTTGCTTAATCTACCCATACTGGTTTTTGGAGGAAAACCCAGTTTGGAGAGTGGAGGATGGAGCCACTCCTTAAGGTCCTCCCTCCTCCACCTCTGAGGGCGGGGTGGGGGGAAGGAGCAGACCTCTTTTCACCCTGTGAATTGTTTATCCAACTGCCACCTATTTCAGACTGGGAGGTGTCCACTCCCTTTGATCTAGGCCTCCCACTTGGCCCTTGTTTGCCTACTGTGGAAGGACAGGGCCCAAAGGGGAGTCCCCTGGCACTTGGCCAGAGCTTTCCCCAGATTCCTACTCTCACTATGAGACCCTGTCTAACCCTTTCAATTTCAGAAGAAGCTGAAACCCTGGACTTTGCTCAGAAGGGAGGGCATACTATGGGAGCCTCTGAGGGGTTAGGGTGCAGCCTGTTGGCCAGACTGGCTGGGGGTCAAGGGGCAGGACGTGTCCTGGACACCCCTCTGGCGGGCTTCCCTCTTTCGCAGACTGATCTTTGCCCCAGCAGGTGCGACGCAGCGCCAATAAACACACCAGGTTTCGCGGGCAGCAAAGGGGAAGAGTGGGCGGGGCCGTTTCCCTTCCCTTCTCTACCCCAGTGCCCTCCGCCCCTCCCCCAAGTCACGAGGACTCTAGATTTTCTCTCTCCAGGATGTTCAGTTCGACTGTCTTCCCCGCCTCTCCCCTGACACCTGCTGCCACGTTAGGAAGGGCAAAACAATCCCAGCTCGTGTAGTGTCAGGGAGTCCCCGCCCCTCCTCTTGTGCTTCCTCCCACCAGGTCCCTCCTCTAGGCCCCGCCCCCACCTGCGCAAGGTAGCTTTAGTTTCCTTGGGCCTGGAGCCCGGACACACAGTGCTCACCCTTCCTCAGCCCCAGTTCTACGTCCGAAGTCGATACACTCTCTTACCACCTGTGTGGAGAAGAGGGAGTGGATTTGAAATCAAGTCCAGGTATCTGGGGTCCCTAGACAGAGTCGGACTTAGGATCCTGTGTCCTGCTATTCCTGCTGGGGCTTCTCCAGGTAAGGGGACCGATATAGGTTCCAGACAAGCTGTTCCTACCCCGAGTCGCACCAGGGCCCCCGGCTGTGCCCGTCTCAGGGCCCAGAGCTGGCTGGTTGTTCAGGTGGGTGGACGGGCGGCCGCTGGGCTTCCCATTTCTCAGTGATGTCAGGCCAAGGGCGGGGGCAGGAGGATAGGTAGTTAATGGCCTCGCATCTCTCTTCCTAAATCCGTGGCCCCAGTCAGGTGTACCGACGCCCAGGGTCCACGTAAGAACCAAAGCCGGCACTTCATTTTGGATGCGGGGCAGCCAAGTCCGGGGTCAATGTAGAAAGATTCGGCTTCCAGCTGTGTCACCCCGCGGCCTCACTTTCTCTTTCCCTCCATCCAGCCTCCTCCTCACCAGCTGCCCCCAGCCTTTCCCTGTTATCATTTCCTGCTCTCCTTATTCCGTCCTTCCCGCTCTGTACCCTCTCCCGCCGCCCTTAGGTCCCCGGACAAAGCAGCTGATGGGGATGGGCAAGTGAGATCTTAGGTTCCCTCCTTCCGCAGACGCGGCTTTCCCGCTAAAACTAGCCCTCCCCACACTCCCTGAAATAGAGCTAGGAGGGGTTCGAATACCGAGGGAGCTGCCCCGAGTCAGCTTTTACCCCAGTTAGAATTTCCCCAAGTCTCTACTAAAGACAGCCGACTCTGCAGGAGGAGGGGAGCCTCCAGGTTGGAGGGAAGGAGCAGAAACTTTGAGGGATTCTCTAAATTGCTAGAGCTCTGTCTCTCCGGAATGTAGCCCTGCTCGAGAACACAGGTTCCTGCGCTCGGATGGGAAAGGGGGTGGGGCAGGCCACGGGGGTCCTTCCTGGCTTCAGAATGAAGTGGGCTCGGAAGGCTGGAGGGCTGGGTGCTGGGGGGTTCGCAGCCCAGAGAAGCCTGGGATGAGTGTGTGTACTCGTTGGGTGGGCACATGGTCATGTCTGTTTGAACAGGCTGCGGGAAGACCCGAGTACGGGTTCTGGGTCTGGCGCTCACGCGGGGGGTGGAGCACGCACCTGCCTGCCGCTGGAAGACAGCCCACCCTCACTGCCCCTCAAGAATGCTCCCTCCTGGTCTGCCTGTCCTGGACTCTGCTCTCCCCACTCCCCGATATCATGCTGGGGGTTGGGGGGGCCACCCTGAAGGAAAGCAGCCTGTAATGATTAACTCCCCAGACACTCCAGCATTCTTCCCAAATTAAACTTTAAAAGAATTGCCCCCCCTTCTCCCACTGGGCGTTTTTTTCCTGCGTGAGGGAGTGGGCAGGGCCACAGGGTCCTGGGCCCTCCCCCCACTCCAGGTCATCCAGGGGTTCTTGCCTCGTCACCTGGGCCCCGCACCCTGAGATCTCCCCGAAAGGTCGAGCCTTACCCCCTACAATCCCGATGGAGGCGGGGCGCTCCCGCAGCCTCCAGGTCCCCAGCCCAGGCCTCTGCTGTGCCAGCCCTTCCCCCAACCCTGGGAAGCACCGAAGGTGGCCTTGTTTTCCATCGACTCTAAACACAGGGCCCTGCCGGTGGGGCAAGATCCAGGAAGTAAACAAGGAGGCAGGAGCCTGGGAGGGCGGGAAGGAGCATGGGGCGGGAGCCGCCGGGACAGCAGGGGGGGTTGGGGCAGGCGCGGCGCGGAGCTCCGGTGTTGAGGGGACAGATTGATTTGGGGGTCGGTTTCTTCAGCAGAAGGCCCCAGTTTGAAAGCTTAACATCTCTTTGGAGGGGGACCCCATTCACCTCCCATTCCATCTCTGGTCTTGACTGTCCCACTCTTCTCTCGCCTTAGAAGGGTCTCGAGGGGAAGATGGAGGGATCTGAAGGCCAAAGCCTTGAGTCAGCCCCCAGGCCCTCTGAGGCCAGACCCTCTGATCCGATTTCAGTCTACTCCTCTCCCCCCTTTCAAACACTGCTGACTCCTTCCAGAGTCTCCTGTGAGTCCCGACTCCCTCGGAGCGCAGCCCCTGCAGCCCCTGCTGCTAGTCCTCTCCTCAGAGGTTGCGTGGGGAGGAGTTAGGGGCCTCATGTTTTGGTGTTGATACACTGGTGTCTGTTGGTCAATGGTTGGTGTGTTTTACCCTTAGTAGGACCCTGAGTTCCCACCGTGGCTCTCTTTCCTGGCCTTTCCCTGGGTGCCTATGTCTGTCCTCTTGGGCGTTTTGACTTTCCACTCCTGCTCCCGTGGTACCCCCCTGGCCAGGACACCCAAAGAGTGCATCAGCCCAGGAGTGATGCAGATGAGTCCACCCCCGGCTAGCTCAGGGCAGAATGAAAGGCTGGTAGGCCTCAGACAGGATAAGGAGCCCTGCACAGTGTCTGGGTGAGCAGGGTCATCACTGGGAGGTCAGCTGTACTCCAGATGAGCCTCTGAATCCAGGCCATGCCTTTATTCTCTCCTTTCTGGGTGAGGGGGCTTCTGGGCTGGGAGGTGGCTACAAACCAGGGACAAATTGCAGCTCCCACCCTGACTGGAGGAGTAGAGGTAGGCCAAGGGCAGGGAGGAGGAGATGATGTCAGAGTAGCCCCAGGCTGGCATCCTCCTCCCCCGTCCTGTTCCTGCCCTGTGCCTCCCCCAGTCCTCCCAGGCTGGTAGGGGGGTGGGTAGGGGCAGGGTTGTTTGTGTTTCTTCTAAGCCAGGAAGTTGTGCAGATGAGTCAAAGTTGAATGGAGAGCCCTAGGCAGTGCTGTCCCGCCTCACCCTGACTCACCTGTCCCCCAAATCCCCTCATGCCCTCACGTAAGGGTCAGGGGCCTGCCCATCCTAGGGTATCAGTCCCAGATGCCCCCAGCAGCCTAATAGCACTGGCCCAGTGTCTGGAGAGCAGGCAGGGGCTGAAACTGGCAAGCTGATTCAGGTCCTCCTAGGTCTCAGCCCAGCCAAAGGGGTCTTGCTTCCTGTGGGGGAGGGGCTCATGCTGCCTCTGTCCCCAGCGGGCATCTTTGCCTCATCACCTATCTTTACTCATCCTGGGTGCCCACGCAGCTCCTCTGAGTGATAAGACATGAGGAAGACCCTGGCCCCGCCTGGGGAGTGCCTGGTGTCTTCAGACCAGTGGGTAGACAAGACAGGTTCACAGTAATTGGCTCAGAAGCCCCAGCACTGTGCTGAGAGGGAGCCCTTCAATCTAAATGTGGAAAATGAAGGAAGGCTTCCCAGAGGAGATAGCTCTGGTATTGAGGCTTCAAAAAAGTTGAGCAGGAGGAGGGGCCTGGGGAGGGTACACCGGGTTTGGGGGCTGCCTGTGCCACTGCAGCTGAGCCCACCTCTTACCTTCCTGGTTTGAACCACTCCCCACCTCCGTCTCCCCTTCATTGTATCCATCCAAGCACTCCAGCAGGCGTTGCCACAACAGGCTCTGGCAACCAGGTCTGGCAACAAAGTGCTGGGAAAACCCAGGGCAGAACCAGAGTAGTGAGTGCTCTGCGCTCCGAGACGAGGGTGGCTCTCTGCCGTGACACTGAGGGCCTGAACCCCAAGACGGTCTGTGGATCCTGGAGTCTGTTGCTGCCCAGCTTGCTGGGGGACCCTCTTAGCTCTTCTCCTGGGCGACTTGGGGCTAAAGGAAGAGCACTGGACTTGGAGGCCAAACACCGGGTTTCACTCCCTGGCTCACTTGTGCTGGGGGCAAGAATGCTTCCTTCTCAGGAACTCAGGGTCTGCTTTTGTAAAATGGGCTTACCCTCACCTTCCCCAAAGTCTTCAGGGAAACTCCAGGCAGACGGGGTACAGTGAGGTGCTGTGTAAATTCTCAGGGGGCACCTTGACAACTATGTGAAGTTGGGAGGTCTGGGTCCTCTGGGCCCCTCTCCCAAGGACAGGAGCACAGGAATGGCTGCATTCAGCTCCCCCTTCTTCCTCAGATGTTATGGAGCTGGGTCTGTCTCCACCTCATCTCAGCAGCTCCCCAGAAGACCTGTACCTGGCCCCTGGGACCCCTCCTGGGACTCCCCCGCTTCCCGATGCCCCTCTGTCTCGGGAGGTGAAGAGGTCCCAGCCTCTGCCCATTCCATCCAGCAGGTACAGTGGGGTGATGGGGCTGAGGAGGGTGGAGGTGGGGGTCAGCACTGGGCAACGCACAGAGGTTGGCAGTCAACTCCAACCCCCCACCCCCAGCCATAGGAAACTTCTTCGAGAGGAGGAGCTGCAGGCAACCTCTCTACCCTCCATTCCCAACCCCTTCCCTGAGCTCTGCAGTCCTCCTTCACAGACTCCCATTCTTGGGGGGCCCTCCAGTACAAGGGGGTTGCTCCCTCGAGATGCTACCTGCCTCCATGTAAGTCACCCCGGGGAAGAAAAGGCAGGGATATGGGGTGATCTGGGGCTGGGGGGATACAATGCCACTTCTGTGGAGGTAGGGGGCTTTGCTCAGGGGTCCCTGAGGGTATAGCAGGTGGGGGGAAGGGAAAGAACCACCCTTTGTTCTCCCTCAAGTCATCTGCAATTCCTGGGGTGCAGGTAGTAAAGGTGTACAGCGAAGATGGGGCCTGCCGGTCAGTGGAGGTGGCGGCAGGTGCCACGGCTCGCTACGTGTGTGAAATGCTGGTGCAGCGAGCTCATGCCCTGAGTGATGAGAACTGGGGGCTGGTGGAGTGCCACCCGCAGCTAGCACTAGGTGAGTCAGGGTGCAGGGGGCTGTCTGGGCCAGGAGGCCATGCTTCACATCTTGGGCTAGGCAGGTGGCTCATCTGGGAGGTCTGGTTGGTGTCCACTGACCCCTGTTTCTTGCCCGTGAGCCCAGAGCGGGGCTTGGAGGACCATGAGTCCGTGGTAGAAGTGCAGGCTGCCTGGCCCATTGGTGGAGACAGCCGCTTCGTCTTCCGGAAGAACTTCGCCAAGTATGAACTGTTCAAGAGCACCTCAGTGAGTGTGTGCGAGGTGGGGTCTAGGCACTGGGACACCCTGATCCCCAGCTTGGATCCTCAGTCCCTGACTCCTTTCTCCCCCAGCACTCCTTGTTCCCAGAAAAAATGGTCTCCAGCTGTTTGGATGCGCACACGGGCCTATCCCATGAAGACCTCATCCAGGTGAGTAGATTCCCCTCAATCCATGGCATATGCATGATTCCCCAGGATCACCCTTGCTTCTCGACCCTTAAGCCTTATACCCCCTCCTCATGTGATGGGAAGAGCTCAGTGCAGTCCTAAGTGACTGTGGACAAGTCACTTTCCTTGCCTGAGTGTCAGTATCTGTTAAGTGGGGACAATAAATGCATATGGAGCACCACCTCTTGGAAAAGCAGATTGAGTGAGTGAGTGAGTGACTGAGTGTGTGTATGTGTGTGTGTGTGTGTGTCCGTCCGTCCGTGTCCTCTCTAGGCTGCTTACCCTCTCCCTGCTGTCCTCTGGCCTCAGAACTTCCTGAATGCAGGCAGCTTCCCGGAGATCCAGGGCTTCCTGCAACTGCGGGGGTCAGGACACAAGCTCTGGAAACGATTCTTCTGCTTCTTGCGCCGGTCTGGCCTCTATTACTCCACCAAGGGCACCTCCAAGGTGAGGTCTTGAGGGTGGTGGTTCCATCCTGGTCCCTCCTGGACCTTTCTTCCCCTGGGCCCTGAGACCCTCAGCTGCTCCTCTTTCCCTCCAGCTTTCCTAAATCAGGATGTAGCAGTGGGAAAGGCAGGTGAACTGAGTCTGAGTTCTGGCTTGGCTTCTATTTGCTCTGTGTCCTGGGGTACTTCTCTGCCCTTCTCTGGGCCTGAATCTGGCCAGCTGGCTTAGGGTCTGCCTGTGACAAGTCCTGCTCACCCATGCCATGCAGGACCCAAGGCACCTGCAGTACATAGCAGATGTGAATGAGTCCAGTGCGTATGTGGTGACCCAGGGCCGCAAGCTCTACGGGATGCCCACAGACTTCGGCTTCTGTATCAAGGTGAAGACGCTGGCCTGGCCTGGGAGGGAGCTGGAGCTGCTCAGGGCCTAGGATCCTACCTGGGGCTTCTGAACTCCAGCTGGGGTGCCTAGACTCCTCCCTGCACCCTACCCAGCCCCATGGAGACAGGAGACAGACCTCTGGTCCCAGAGGCAGATAGGGGACCAGCCAGTTTTCTCTTCCCACAGCTGAACAAGCTTCGGAACGGCCACAAGGCACTTCGTGTCTTCTGCAGTGAGGATGAGCAGAGCCGCACCTGCTGGCTAGCTGCTTTCCGCCTCTTCAAGGTAAGGCCCCGGCAGGATCTGTGGCATGAGGCAGGGGTTATAACTCGGCCCTCAGGAAGTTTCCAGAATGAGGGAGCATCACAGCCTTGCTCTCTCAGAATCCCTGGTCCAAGCTGGAGTCACAGCTCTGGCATCAGGGGATTCCTTATCCAGGGGCAGAGACAGAGCCCTGCTCCTAGGAGTCCTGGTCTGGGGGCAGGGGTGCCACAGCCCAGGCCCCAGCACCTGCGTGACCTCAGGTTCTTTCTCCCTCCAACCCCCCAGTATGGGGTGCAGTTGTATAGGAATTATCAGCTGGCACAGTCTCGCCACCTGCACCCGTCCGGTGTGGGCTCTCCGCCCTTGGTGAGTGTGCACAGGGAGGTTAGGTGGGGGTGTGCACCCAGGCCCCATCCCAGGGACACCTGGGCCGTCTTCTGACCCTTCCCCATCCTGTCACATCCCCAGAGGAGTGTCTTGGATAACACCCTGGTAGCCATGGACTTCTCTGGCCGTGCTGGTCGTGTCATTGAGAACCCCCGGGAAGCGCTGAGTGCAGCCCTTGAGGAAGCCCAGGCCTGGAGGGTGAGGGGCCTGCACCCATCTGCATGTTTGTACTGGGGACCTTCTCTCCATATGAGTTTCCATGGAGTAGGAGGAAGAGAGGGGTAAGGGGAGGCGGAGGCCCCCAGCTGCAGGAAGGGGCTCTACCTTCTCGAGGTGCCGGCTAACACCCTGGCCAAGCCCTGATTCCCCCATCCCCCACTGCTCTGCAGAAGAAGACAAACCACCGACTCAGCCTGCCCACCCCAGCCTCAGGCACGAGCCTCAGTGCAGGTGGGTGAAGGCCTAGTGTTCCCAGGGGTGGGGGCTGCCGTGGCTTGTCTGAGCACTCCCGGGGCGGCGGGAGGGGGTTAGTATGAGCGTCCCCTCCCTGGAGTGACTGCCCACCTGCGCCCCCCCTACACCAGCCATCCACCGCACTCAACCCTGGTTCCATGGACGCATTTCCCGAGAGGAGAGCCAACGGCTCATCGGGCAGCAGGGCCTGGTAGACGGGTAAGGGGCAGGGCTGGGCAGGGGATAAGAGAGACCCTGGGTCAAGGACGAGCCATGTCCCCCCAGGTAATGTTGCCTGCCTGTCTCCTGGCAGGCTGTTCCTTGTCCGAGAGAGTCAGCGGAACCCACAGGGCTTTGTCCTCTCTTTGTGCCACCTGCAGAAAGTTAAACATTATCTTATCCTGCCGGTGAGTAGTCCTCTTCCTCCCCAAGGGTCCCAGATTCTTGAAGTGGAGACACAGACTCATCAGGCCCCCTCAAGAAGCCCCCCTGACCTCCACTGTATCTGGGTTCCCTGCTCTCTCCTTTCTGCCCACATGAGCAATGGAGACCTCAGCGCTGGCCCAGGAGGGAGCTCAAGCCTCATGCCCCTCGCTAACCTTCTACCCCTTATGGCTGCACCCCAGAGTGAGGAGGAGGGCCGCCTTTACTTCAGCATGGACGATGGCCACACTCGCTTCACTGACCTGCTGCAGCTTGTGGAGTTCCACCAGCTGAACCGTGGCATCCTGCCGTGCTTGCTGCGCCATTGCTGCACCCGTGTTGCCCTCTGACTGCACAGAAGCAGGCACTTGTCTCAGCCTGCTCCAGGCTGCCCATCGTCCCCTCTGTTCATGGAGTGGACTTGGAGGGTGTGGAAGGCACAGGGTTATGGATAATTGGAGGGCTCCTCCACTCTAGAGAATTTTCTCTTCTCCTTTGCCTCAGGCGGAAAGTGCCCGCTATCTAGTCCACCCTTCTCTTCAAGGGAAGGCCCCTGTGTGGCCCTCTCCCTTCATGGAGCTCTTGGGCACTGCTTTGGGGTAGGGCATTATGGGAGAAATGGGGGCAGCCCAGGTGGTCTTGTGTCCCACATTTTGTACAGACTGAGAGGCCAGTTAATCTGCTCTGTTTTATACTAGTGGCAATAAAGATTATTTTTTGATACACCTATGTGTTCTGTCTTCCAAGACCTGACTAGCTGGAATAGCAAAGGAAGCAGGAGAGGTGGGCACCAGGCCTTGGTGAAAGTCTAGGACAGATACAGGCCACATTCTGGTCAGTGTGGATGTTTCTCAAGGGCAGGAGCGTTGGTCATCCGACAGTCTTCAAAACCCAACATGGAGCCAGGTCCGCAGCGGGTGCCCAGTAATTGTTTGTCTAATGAATGAATGGGCGGGGTTGTCAACAGGTGGATGTATTGATAGAGCCTAAAGCTATGGAGGTAACTGTAACAAGGCCTGGGAAGTTGGAGCTGGAGTTGGACAGCATCTGTATCCTCTGCAAATCCTGAGATAAGTGGTGGGATCATTATGTAGACAAACACGCAGTTACACATCGACCACCACCACCCAGACACATAGCTCCATTACCTCCCACAAATGTCCGTGCCCCACTATGCCTCCTGCTTTCTGTCCTGACAGTTCTGCCCCCTCCAGAAAGCCAGATAAATGCAATCCTACAGCACTCAGTCCTATGAGTCTGGCTTCCCTCAGCAACCCATCTTCCAGTATTCAGAGTGATCTTTCCAAAGTGTAAGTCCAGATGGACCCTTCAGGGTCTGCCCTCTGCCTACTCTTATGTTTTTGTTTAAAGAGTTTTATAGTTGTAGATCTTCCATGATGGAAGAGTCTTATAATAAATGTATCAGATGGGCAACAACTGAACCTGCTGCTAAATCCTCAGATCACAAAGAGACCCTCCCTTCAGACATATGAACCCCGATGAGGCATTATTTTTGCCAGGAAGTCAAACTTGAATTTGATGCCCTGGATCAACTATTAGTTGATCAGAAATAACAGGGAACAGAGGAACATGTGAAATGACATACGGGAATACAATTACCAAAATCCAGATGGGAAACTATAGAATGGACAACCCAGTTTCTTCTTCAACAACAAAAATTTACGAGAAAAGAAAGGATGGGGAATCTTGGTTTCAAGGAATTTAGACATATTTCAACCAAATGTAATGTTTTGACCTTATTGATTCAAATCCAAACTAGTTACTTGCAAAAAACATATGAGCAATTGGGGAAATTTGAGCTCTGATGAGGTATTTGATGATATTAAGGAATTATGGTTAATTGTTTAAGGTGTGATAATGGTATTGTGGTTATGTTTTTTAAGGAAGTCTTTGCTTTTAAGAGATTCATTCTGAAGCATTTGTAGGTGAAATGATGTTTCAGATTTGTTTTCAAAATAACCCAGAGGTTAGGGAAGAGGATGTGGGTGTAGTCATGGGTTGGCCATGAGCTGATGTTGGTTGAAGCTGGTTGATGGGTACATGGGTATTCATTAAATTACTCCTTAATTTTGTATAAGCTTGAAAACTCTATAGATAATTTTTTTTTAATGGAGAATCTGTACCCAAATCTTTGAGGCTGGTTGGCTTGAGGTGGTGGAATCCCATTTTGTAGGCAAGGAAAGTAATGGCTCAGTGAGGAGATCTGCCCCAAATCAAAGCTGGTGAGAGTGCTAGGATTTCAACCCTGAGTACGAGGTCTGGGCTGTCCTGCTACCCCTGACTGGCTGACTTCAGGTGGAATGCCTGAGTGGTGCGCGCGCGCACGTGTGTGTGTGTGTGTGTGTGGTCCTCCCCTGGGCTTGGCAGTCCTGGAAGCCACCTGTGACTGAGCCACCCCTAACCTTGGCTAATCCCAGGCTGGGGAGCCAGGCCTGTCGAGTGGGCAGAGAGGCAGAGAGGCCCCATCCACCCTCCAGCCTGGAAACTGCTAGGGATTTATCCTGAAGAATTAAGCAGCCCAGGCATGAGGCGGGTACAGATTTTGTTTCTTTTTAGCAGGACTCAAGGCAGGGACTAGTACAACCTGCTGTCTGCCACCTGCCGTGGTTCCCAGAAATGTCCCATTGCTGGTTGCTCCTTTGGCTCAAGCTGACTGGCGATGGCTGTGGCTGGCCATGGATGCCCAGGGCCACTTCTGAGGTGTAGGTGCTAGGGGTCACTGCCGGGTGAGAGTAAAGGGGTCCAAATGAGTCACTTAAGTATGTCCAGGGATTTAGGCTGCACAAAAACAGGACACAGTGTCCCCTCATAGCCTGAGGCACCAGGTGGGGTGCAAAATCCTTCTACAGCAATCAGTTAATCAGAGTATGTGAGACACATATGGGTCCCATTTTATAAATGAGAAACTGAGGCTCAAAGAGAGTGCCCATCCAAGGTCCTAGATGGAGTTAGGGACAGAGGTCAGACTCAGCCCTTCCTGCCCTCCCTTTGTTCTCTGTCCCTTCCTTCTCAGTGCTGGCCACTCTGAGCGATCTTTGCCTCTGGGGGCAGCTGGCTTGGCCCTGAGCTACATACTGGAGATTGGCAGCTGGACATCCTTGGTGAGCGGCTGCAATCTCTGGCTTGTTGGAGAGGCAGCTGCTGAGAGTGTGGGGAACAAGGGCCTTTCAGGGTCAGCTTACAGAGGGACCCAGGGCAAGATTCCCCATCTCTAAGGCTATGGGAAGGTTGCTGCCTGTACCACCAAGGAGGCTGCAGCATGACCCACAGAGGCCAGACTGCAAAAGTGACTGCCAACAATAGCTGTGGTGCTGGATAGCAGAGGGGTGGGGGCTAGGGTGGGGAGGGAGGCAGGGGCATTTTGAAGAAGGTAGAAGCTGGCTCCTCAGACACTTGTTTTCAATATCAAGTTAACTGGGTTTTTAAAGAACGTTTCAGAAATCAGAAGACTTCAGAAAAGAAAGTAATCTCCCCATGCGGAGGAGGACCCAGACTTTGGGAGAGGAAGATTCAGGGCCCGCATCCAGGGGCTGGCCCTAAATGGCCTGCAGTGCAGCACCCTGTGGCTAGCGTGGCTGGTGTGAGGACAGAGTAGGGTGCAGAGCAGGTTTGGGCAGCACCTTGGGTTGGTGGAGGGTGGAGCCTATGGTGGACCTTCCAGCCTGCTCAAGTGTCGAGGGCTGGTGCCAACCTTTTGGACTCTGGGAATAGCTGGGCATGATCCTAGGCAAGCCGACCTCCTCTAGAAGGGGCATTCAGACAGATAAAGCTGTGGCCAGGTCATGCGCCCCCTGCTTCCCAGACATCTTGTCCAGTGAACTCTACACAGCCTTTCATGTTCATAGGTAGAGGGCCTCCTGGTACAGACCCAAGGGTTCAACACCAGGTCAGTGACCCTGCCTGGTTCTTTCCTTGTGCCCCAGGGATAGGCATCCCCAGGAGGGAGGGAGGAAAGGAAGGAAAGGAGGCAGGCAGGGGAGCCCAGGGCTACTTGGAAGGATCCTTTCTTCCTGTCTACATAAGCTGTTTCCTAATGGCTTTCTGGAGTCCAGGAGCTCCTGCAGGGGCTGGGGGCAGGTTGTAGGGAGCACAGCCTTGTATCTGGTAGTGTGACTCCAAGGTATACTTGGAAAAAAGGCTTCTACTATTGAACCACTGCTCTTGTCCAGCATACAGAAAAAAGGGTGAGCCTGGAGGCTGAGGCTGATTCCCAGGAGTCCCCAGTAATCTCCATACAGGAAGGTGTGTTGAGAAGTGGGGGTACTGTCTGAGAAGGCTCATGCTCTACCAACCCCTTATGAGGCCTGAAGTCCAATACCACCCGGATTGAGCCAGGACGGCCTGCAACTCTCTCTTGTTGGACTGACTGCTGTGCCCGAGCAAGAGGCAGGTGTTTTTTTTTTTGCCAGGCTCCTGGGGGACTGTTTAGCTGGAGCTACATTTTCTTGGTATGCAGCTTGTTTTTATTTGGATCCGGTTTATCTTGGGATGGTTTTGGGGAGACTGAGGGAGATTGGGAGGCCAATGCTCCTCTTTTAGGACAACCATGTGTATCTCTCTAGGGCCATGGTAATGGAGCTGGGCCCTGTAACCCTGGAGCTCCAGGGGAAGCTGTATGCAGAGATGGAATGGGCAGTCTGCAGTCTCACAGACCCTCGGCGAACAGACGTGTTCCTCTATGTTTACCCTCCCAACCTGCTTCCTGAGTTAGATCCAGGACATTTAGAAGTGGGCATTCCTCTCAATACAAAAATAATTTTCCAAAGGATTCCAGGGTATCTCCTTCTCACAGCCTTGGCTCGCCCGCAGCTCCCTTACTACCATCAGTCTTCATACAGGTTCCATCTTTTGGGTCCCTTCTCCCAAGCTGAGCCACCCCTTTCCACACCTCTGAGGAATGAACTGCAAGTAGGGTGGAGAGGCGCGGCTGGGTGAGTTAGGCATGGCCTGAGTCGGTGTGCTGTTATAGGAATGAAGATGCACCAGGGACCCATCTTGCAGTCGCTCTGGCTCCACAGCACGTGAGGAAAGTTATCTGCACGCGCCACCCTTCCTGCCGCCCCCTTTCTCCCCCAGAACATACTGCACCCTGGACTGCGCACGGTTGTTGGGCCACAGGGCACGGAGCAGTCCCAGGGCTCAACAAAGCCCACCTCTCTGCCTCTGAGGCCGGAAGGCCCGCTGCTTCGCTAGGGGGCGCGCTTCGGGGGCTGGCGAGGACGCGCTGTCGGTCTCCAGGCCCGCGGAAGGAAGCTCGCGTGGCACCACAGTGATGAGCCCATCTGTTGCGCGGCAGGGGGGTTAGTTTGTTCTTAATTTCGAGTCGGTTGGCTGGGTGGGGGCCTCTAAAAGACCAGGCGGGCTGAGGGAGTTCTGAACTCCACATCCAGGCATCGCGGGCCGGGCATGACCCGCGTGAGCACGGCGGGCCCGCGTCCTCCCGCTTCCTGGGACCCGCGCCCCGGCCTTCCCGCTGCGCGCTAGCCGGATCAGCCGCGCGACTGCAGTGACACCCAACGGCCCTGGCGGGAAGTGCAGGCGCCGCTCGCGCGCTCCTGGTATTAAGGTCGGTGCCTCTCGAGGTTCCCACTCGTGGTTACCAAGCGGGCACCCCCAGGAGAGAAGGCCGCGCTCTGCAGACTGCCCCGCGGGGCACTTCCCCTTCCCCTCCCCCAGTTTCCTCCCTTGCAGTCGCCCGAGCGCG